TTTAATTTTTCGACAACTCCTTGATTTACGTTTGATTGCATACTGGTTTTATCGAAATGTAATTATTTACATTTGCTTGATATTCAAGGGTAATATAACAAGACCTTGATAAATAGTCGACTATTTTGATTGCATCTAAATTTCGATTGTATTTTATAATAATTTAACGAGACATATTAATTTTGGCGTTAATAATCTGATGAAAGCCCGAGAGCGAAGCTCGAGGGCTTTCATCTATGATTATTAACGCCAAAATTATGTCGAGTCAAATTAATAAATACAAGAGAAATTTAGCAGCAATCAAAATAGTCGCTTATTAATCAAGGTCGTGTTATATTTATGAAGATTATTTCTTGAATCCAATTATTTATACCAGGGAGGCATATTCACAAAATGAAACAGTTTGATATCATTTATGCAAAATATCAACAACAATCTACAAAATACAAACATACGTATCAATTGACTGAATTGAATTCCACGTACACTTTACACTATATTCTTTATAACCTTATTCCTCATCTTCTTTTTTCATGTTCCAGGTCAAAATATCATTCAGTTTTGTGAATGGTGTTGATTCATTTAGTTTACATTGACGATGCTCGCAAAATTTGGTGAACTGCCTCCATACGCTATTTTTACTCCTCACTGTATATTATGCGGGATTGTAGACTGGACCACACCACCATCATTTCTTCGCTTGTGGTTTTGCCAAAACGATTCATTAACAAAAACTTCAAAAACACGATTTTGACGTTTAAGTTAAGTGCTGTCAGATGCACAAGCTGTCATGCTGATAGTCGGCTATCGTGCACCATGCAAAATAGTCGCTAATGGAGGGTGTTGATTGGTTTCGTCAAACAGGAATCAAAAGTGGGATTGGTTGATAATTGACAATTAATAGACGAAGGAAATAATCACTGAATGTTTATAGCTCCGTTGTTTTCTGCGACAGCCTTAGTACTTACTCTAACTACGCGTTGATCCCCTTTTTACTAAGAATTAATTTAAATTTAAATATTGGCCTTGCAGATCTATATATTACAGTGTCCTATTTGTAATATTTTGAGATCATTAAAATACCCTCGATTATGACGTCAATTATTGTTTATGTATTTTATTTCTCTGCTTATCAAGACCAGAACATGGATCTCTTAGTCTGCCCCTTATTTGATAAGCATTCTGTTCTCTCAATGTACTAAAGACTAAGTGACGCCTATCCAGTTTACTATTACTACATTTCCTTTTTGCTTCGTTTTTGTTACTGTACTGTACAAGAACCCCGATATTCACCTCGACCCACCTCTGCCTGAGCTTACCGCGTGCTTATCTCAAGGTAATTTTGATATTATTCCCCGAAGTGAACGTAACACATGGCGCCTAATTTGAAAGACGGTGTTCTACAGGCAACCTGGTTCCATGTAGGTCCTTCCCCAGCTGCTTTCCATTCCAGGAACAATTTTAAGTCAAGATCTCCTTGTTGTTCTTTGACTAGTTCTGTGGGCGGCCTTTTTTTTATCTACCACCCAATTTCTTTGGACCAACTCGTCTTTTTCCTCGGTTCGTCGACAATGGCCACAACGAGGGCCACAATTTTCTGGACAGAGTCTTCTTGAAAGAGCATTAGCATTTTCATGACGAATTCCTGCACGCATTCGATCCATCTTGCTACCCTGACCTTCGGGATTCTTTGGCCTTTTCATCTAAATCAAAAAGGTCTCGATACCGAAGTAACAGGTCACGAACACGTACTTTCTGTGTAGACGACCCATTCCTTTACATACTTCCGCTATCAGGGCAGTCAACTTTGCAGGGATCTTCTTCGAATCTGGTTGAACCACTCGCACCGATATAGTAATATCAATCCATGTACTTTGACGACATCTCCAGTTGCAGTACGTAATCGGCATGTGGTATTAATAAGTCGCGTCCGGCTGGTTAACTGCGATCTGGTGATGATCCTCGTCGACCCGTATCCACCAGCATACCCACTCCTTGGTTTTCCATTAATCAACCCATCAATAAAGATGATCCGGCACAGAGTAATGTGACAATGACTGAATGACAGTTTTGGCTCGAGCGCTTGCGGATACGATGAATCAGTAGCTGGTCTGGGTTCCTGGGACTTTGCATTCATTCTTCAAATGACCTAGTTTCCCGCAGGTCCAACATTTTCGTTGAACATCAGCAATTATTTGTATGTCAATAATAACGCTTTATTAGTTGAATTAGTTTTAACGAACCATATTGCCAGTGACTAAAGTTGGGGTGTTTTATTATTGCAAACATCTCTCATGTTAAAGTACTCCAAAGTAGGTCGAGATAGATGGACGTCATTTGACGTAAACATTCCCACCAAAGTTGGTGCAAATGTTACTCAACTAATGTTGCTGGCAAAAGACAAGGGTAACAACATATTAATAATCTCTTGTAGCATAATTTGCGTGAGTTTTATTTACATAAGAATAGCTCGCTTGGGCCGTAGAGAGAGCCGGTTTACTGAAAATCTCAGTTTAACATACCTTACTAATTCTGTTAGCGTACACTCTTCAATTCCATATTAAGCAATGAATAAAACATTTATTCAGTGATCTGCGTGAATATCTGTATAAATTTAAATGTAGAAACCTCGATCAAATCGAGGCACTGTATAATGTAAAATTATTTCCTCAAGTTAGTTTGGGTGTTTAGTTATGAATGAAATGTACCCAGATTAAACGTGCGAAATTGATGTACAAATCTATTTGTGAATGTCGGAGTGGAGAAAGGATATTAAAGCGAAGGATAAAATTGAATCTCTTAAAATCGCGGATGTAAAAATGAGAAAATGAAAATGTAAAAATATTTCATCCGCTTTCATTACATTTCAGTTCTTTAAGGGCTTCTAACCGAAATTTATCACAGATGAACGTTCCGTAATTACGTTAGCCTCTTTCTGCTCTTTTTAAGAAGATATGTAATCATTTCTTGACACATTTTCTATGGTCTTTTCGTGCACCACATTTGCTTAAAAATTGTTAGATTTTATTGGATTTACAACTGGTAAATTGTAGTCGATTGTAATATAGTTTCTTTCTTCGTGATCATTGTGAAAATTGACCTACCTTCCGTTTATGATATTCAAACGTTAAGAACTATATCCACATCACCACGTTTGAGGACGATGCGTTATGTCCTCATATTCACAAGCAAAGGTTGTACAGGTTCCTTTCAACGAACGTTCCCGAACAGTAGAACAATTCCGCGAAAAGGTTAGTGAGTCGGGGGTCCTTTGCGAATGTACATACCACATGTGAGATTGCTAGATTACACGGATTGTTGTGAGTCAATTATTGTTAAACAATATCGTGTCATCGCCCCACGCCCGAACTTTTGTTAAAAAATAATGCAACGAATTTCTTATCTATGCGAAATGGTCGGCATAATTCCTGAAGGCGCCTTACAGGAGAGTAGAACCCTGACACTTTGCCGCCATCTTGGATTTTATTCGCGGGGTCAATCAAGGTCAATTAAATTGATTCGCGGGTTCGCCCACGTGGGCGGGGGGATTTTCGGGGGTGGAGGGGGAAATTTGGAGTTTGATTTGATTAATTAATTAAAAATTGTGGGATTTTGGTCTTTATTGACATTTGATAAGATCGATGACGTCATCGATTAATTTAATTCGCGGCTTGATTAATTTAATCGGCGGTTTGATTGATCTAATTAATTTAATTCGCGTGTTGATTTCCCGGAATTTCTGTTTGATTACTTTGATTCGCGGCTTAATCAATTTAATTAGCGGTTTGATTTCTCGGAATTTCCTCTAATTAATTTGATTCGCGGCTTATTTAATTTAATCCGCGGTCCGATTAATTTAATTCGCGGTTTGATTGATCTAATTAATTTATCGATTAATTTAAATTGATCGTATAATCAAGAATAATTACACATATGTAATAATTACACACACAGGTAACTCTAATTGAAAACAAAATGGCCGCCAAAGGCGGGAAATTTGAAATTTTTTCTATCTTTCTCTCTACTCACTGCGTCTATCTCTCTCTTACTCATTGCGTCCCTCTTTTACCTATTCTGAAATAGAAGTTAGAAAATGAACAAGTTTTAATTATGTTTATTATGGTGCAACAATTAACAAAAAAAACATTACAATCAAGATTAATTTAAATTGATCGTATAATCAAGAATAATTACACATATGTAATAATTACACACACAGGTAACTCTAATTGAAAACAAAATGGCGGAAAAATAAAATGGCCGCCAAAGGCGGGAAATTTGAAATTTTTTCTATCTTTCTCTCTTACTCACTGCGTCTATCTCTCTCTTACTCATTGCGTCCATCTTTTACCTATTCTGAAATAGAAGTTAGAAAATGAACAAGTTTTAATTATGTTTATTAGGGTGCAACAATTAAAAAAAAAAACATTACAATCAAAAATTAAGCGCAAATTACAATTTAAAATATACAATACAAACCCGTTTCCACACCACCCAGGAGGTAGAGTTAAGGCGCGTTTTTTTTAACGTGGTGTTCCCCTGTAGGCCTAATCCACGGAACGTATTTACAAACTTAAAAAACTAAATATGTACATAAAGGTTAAATTAAAAAAGTTTATTAAATAATTGAACTAGGACCTCCACGCGTGAGCCACTGAGCTCCGGCCACATATCGATCACTGCCGTGAACTGTTGCACTGAATTGTTTATTGTGCGGTTCATAAGATCAAGCGCTTCTTCTTCCTCCGTAGGTGAGGACACGTCCATCTCCCTCAGGACGTTTATTGCGTCCGTTATACAATTCATACTGTTCTCGCACATACTTATATAATTACACAGGTCTTCCGAGAGTGTATAAATTTTTGTCTTCATATCGTTGAAGATAAGTCTTTTGCTCACTATAACGGTTTCCACTGTGCGTGGTAGCTCCGTGAGAGCTATATTGTCACGGAGTACCACTAACTCACACATGCTACATAATGTTGAACCTGCAGGTGTAACTGCGGGGTTAAAATCACTCAACTGCGACAGAAACACCAAACACCCCGTGACGTCGATCTCACGGCGCGTTTTTTTTAATGTGGTGTTCCCCTGTAGGCCTAGTCCACAGAACGTATTTACAAACTTAAAAAACTAAATATGTACACACTAACCTTATATTTACAAAACTAATCTAATATTTACAAAGTACCCAAAAAATTACGTTTTATACCCGTATGGCAGTGTGTCATACCCCTGCTCTAAACGACGCCGCTTCGTGTACTCGACGCGGTACCTTTTCTTCTCCGGTCTGGAGATGACATCAAAGGCACACGTGCGAGCTATGCGACGGTCCGTTTCCACATAGGTCTCTGGGGCATTGTTCAATACACTGTCTTTAATAGAGTCAAAGTTCACCACGGCACTGTTTTTATAGTTCAGGGAAATGCCCTTAACTTAACTTAACTACACTATGTTTATTGTCGCGGGGGGAAAACACTTTAAACGCATAGTTTTTGGGACCGCCACTTACGAATTCCACAATACGGCTCTCTGGACCATAGCACTCAATTTCATCCGTCATGTCGCCTAAGAAGTTTCCGCAAGGTGGCGACCATTCTCCCGGCTTCTCAGTGAAGATTACCGAGTCTGTATCGAAATACAAGACCCGATCACCCAGCTACTCGAGGTAGCTGTACAGCTTAAGGCGGGCATGGGCGGTTGTATAAGCTGCCAACACCACATTGGTGGTCTTCAGGGGCTCGACTGCTTCCTCCGGGAGAGTCCAGTTGACGATTAGGGTCTCGTCGTTCACGGGAATGATCGAGTTGAGTTCCACGGCCGGGTCAGTGAGCATTTGGAAGAACTTCTCAGCTTCCGAGACAATGGCAGTCTTTGAGAGATTGTCCCGCTGACCAAACTTTCCCCAAAAAGAATTGAGGAACAATTTGGCGATATAGCGAAGACCTGCGTTCACTTGAATCTTGGTCCGGTCAAGTTGAACCCCTTCGTGTTCGAGGTACTCTGCCAGGTAGCGCATACACGCCTCATCGTCAACACACCAGGCTGGCCATCCACTACACTCCTGCTTGGTCTTCAGAAAATTGTCGACGTAGCCGCTGAATAAACCGCCGCTTTTTGCGGCACGGTCGTATTGGGTGGTCTCATACTCCCACACTTCTTGAAGGTCGGCAATAACGTATCCCAACGAAATGGCCTTCCGTAGCTCGTCGGCCACGTATGTCCCACCGAATTGCCGCTCCTCTTCAGGGTGCTCACATTCCCCTTGCTGCATTGTTTCGCAACATGTACGACACAGGGGAAACATCAGTTTGCCGTGGCACCTGTACGGAAGCACGGGATGGTAAAGATCTTGGGGCGGAAGAACTGTGCACTTAACCATGCCTTCTACAGTGTTTAGGTTGACGGTCCGTAGTTCTTCAGGCGTTATAAGTACACGGGGATGGCCCAGAGGGTACTTTCCATACTTGTTCACGTAGGGGTAGAGGGAGCACACGTCCAAGTATCTTATTTCGCCCCCCTTTTCGGCCTTGTGGTACAGCTTGACGGCATTTGTTCGGCCGCCAAAAAAACCATCACGAGGATTTAGGGGCTCATGCCTTAAAACATTATTTCCATTTAGCCGGTTAGCGACCTCAGGATTATTAGTGAGATATGATTTGAAGTTGCACTCCCACATTTCAATCAAATTGTATCCCGCAGAGTTTATTCGGCTGGAAATAGCTTCGGTCTTCTCACGCCGTGTGCTCATTGTGTCAGTTCTGTTGCCCTTTAGTGGCGTCGTCTGGTCCGGGAAGCATGTCTCACAGCCGTGAAAATAGCAGCCGTGGAACTGGTACACGGTGTTGGTGCTAGACGAATAACCGTCGACCAAAATTCCTTCAGGTAAACGCACCTCTCGAGTATTCCCGGCATGTTGAAGGTCGGGGACCTCGGTGGATTGCAGATGAAGAAGCCATTTGATGGCGACTCCACTTTGGTTGTCAGCCATCCTGTACCCGCCATGTGGGATGAGCCCAATCGTATCCTCTTGAAGGAAGTTTCGGCGAAACACCAGGCTGCACGCAGAGGCAATAGTGCAGCACTCACGGAATGGGTCCACCTTATTCTCTTCCACAAACTTGCTCCAAAACTCCACGCACGCCTGGCGCAAGATATTGACGTCTTGGACACAGTACTGCACAATTTGCGATTGGAAATCGAAAACTGCTCCGCGCGACACTTCGGTGTTGTACCATTTTAAGAAATCCTCGCGATTTTTAGCAGACATTTCTTCGGCACCGTAGAAATGTGGAGCGGGTAAAGGTCCGATGTAATTAGCATTTTCCAAAGTATTAAAAAAGTGTGGAAAGTAGCCTTTACAACCAGGGAAACTGAACGTTTTCGGCAGCGCACTTAACGGGACGGGCATAAAGTTCAAACTGTCGATAAATCGCACGTTATTATTACACGTCAATGATGTAATTTTTGTGCCCGTGGCGATGATGTCAGGATTCCATGCTGAAGGAGTTTTCATCATTTCCTTCAAAATGAAGATGCTATCATACCCTTTGCTGTTGTGAGCAATAGCCACGACGTCACGACTTTTCCTGGCTAACGAGGACACGAGACTTAAAAGTTCATTAACGGGGTCTTGTTTAAATATGTGTTGTCGAGGACCACATTTATCACAAGGGATATTAATGTTTGTATTGGTTGTGATGCATGACTTACACAGTTGTTGCGCGACACATAAGTTGGGCACATGGACGTAAGTGTCAACACGATTTTCAAACTGCTCGTCCTGACGGCACTCAAAGTCATAGAAAACAAACACAAAGTCTTTGCTTAATTTCTTTTGGTCTGGGGTATTCTTTGCCATGTAGCACAGATGACGTATTGGCCGATCAGCTTGGCATGTGACACATTTCTTGAAACCGCACTTGTGAGCCTTCTTCGACTTCCATACCGTAGCTAAACACGTCCGACATCGACGTACTTGCAAGCATAAATTCTGGTCTTTATGATAGCGATAGCACTCCTGTCCCCGGAAATCGCGATTACACTCCGCGCACTTAATGTTCACAACATCCTTGTTGCACGGGGGATTGTTGTGACAACAGGGACAAATGTACTTACAGTTTTTGTGAGCCTTACGTTCACTCATGCGTACACGACACGACTCACAAAAGTAGCCACAACTAAACGCGGACGTTAGGCTTGTAATCACATTGTAATGTTCATTCTCCATGAGGAGGTTTAGCACTTGACGCTGAGGGGATCGTAGACCTTCAAAATACACCGTTTTGCCCATCCGATGATTGTAGACAACGATCGTATAGTCCGTGAGGTGGTCTTGAAACTGGCGTATGTGTTCAATGGTCCCTCCGTTACTCAAATCTACGCCTGCCGCAGCACACAATTCAACAGCTTTTTCTGCCTGAAGAGCATGGCCAACTTTCAGGTAGGGCAGATCTATAGAGTTGGTACGGAAAGCTATGGCGGTGACCAGCGCACGAGCGAGGCACAGAGTATCATTGTTGTTAATGAGAATGATACCGTGTTTTCGCTGCGAGAACTCCTCAAAAGTAACACCCGTCATGCGTTGCCGCCCCTTGCCATTAGGGAGGGTAATTAGACTCACGTCAACCCGTAGTGCATCGCTGGAGAAGAACGCCTTATTACTTTGCATAACCTTGTCCATGGTCTTCAGCATGACGTTAGCATTCAGTTGGTCGATACGGCGGAATGAAAATCCAAGAGGGTTGTCAGGAAACTCGCTATTTGTCAGCATTAATCCAATGCGATCACTCACACTACGCCTCTTAGTTATATAATTAATAAGCGCAGTCAGTGATTTCTGTAACAGAAATACACAGAATGAAGTTTAGTTTAATAAAAATAGATTTGTATGCATACCTTAAGCCATTCTAGAGGTGCTTCATTGGGCTCCGCATCATCAAACTTGATAGTTAACTGTTGGGCTGTCAAGTTGAATTTCTTTATTACCCGCTCTCCCTCTGACAACACTAAGAAACGTCGAGGTACTCCACGGCCAACTTGGGGTGATAATTGGTGTAGACCCGAAGTAGAGGGTTCGGAGTTCAGCTGCAAAGAAGTTAATTAAATTCCTTGTTTAGAATAATTAAAGCAAAACTTACATTATTTACACAGGGCACTATAGGTGCGGTTGGTTGTAGTCTCGATGTTGATGGTTGAGGGTTAAGAATCTGTAAAGACGTTAGCATTTAGAACTTGCGCACTTGAAAATTATTATTATTATTCAACTTACATTATTTACACACGGAGCAGCATGCTTTCGCTTAGGCTTTGCATGGGAAGCCGAAACGGAAGGTTGCGGTGGATGCTGTAAGGAAATGTACAATTAACATATGAAGCAACTTTTAAAATTAAAGTAAACTTACTTTCACACAGAGATCGAGGGGTTGCGATTGGGGTTTGTAGTCGCCAGGGGCAGATGGCAACGGTGGATGCTGTAATGAAATTTACAATTAAAGTATCAACAAGTTTCCAAAAAATAAAATGAACTTACTTTTACAGTGAGATCAAGGGGCTGAGATTGCTCTCCTTGAAGCTGACGGCTAGTGGACGGCGAAACTTCATTCTGTACAAATAAACAACATTTAGAAAACGAAACTTTAAAAATTAAATAAACTTACTTTCACACAGAGGTCGAGGGGCTGCGACTGCGGATTGTTTGCTATAGCAGCAACGTGATGGGAATTCTACAAAGAAATTTATATTTAGAAATTTATAAGTGTACAAATATTAAAAACTTACCACATTTTGTTGAAGCAGGCGCGTTTGAATGGTACCCACCACATCACGAAGACGCCGGAAGTGCACAATGTCTTCTTCTTCAGGAATCACTTCACCGGAAGTTATCATATTGTGCAGCTGCTCACAAACCTTAACCATGGCATCCTCGGAAAGGAAGCCAGCATCGAACGCAGCACACAAGGATTTAAAATGGGCAGCCATTGCACAAGTTAAAATACACACAAAGCACAAACACAAAGATCACGTAAAAACTCGAAAAATACGCACGTACAAATGTAAGAACGCGAGTAATTCCGAGTCCCCGAAAATAAGATTTTTATATCAGAGCAGGTAAAATAGAATCCGATCCCTTCCGAACATTGCCGAACGCTTTATTGTTCTCCTAAAACCGGTTTTCCGCTTGTTTAAACACGATCTATTGTTTAAAATGCATGACTCATAATTCGCTAAACCTGTTTTCCGCATGAATAGCCACATTTTTTGTTCTTGTGGTCGTCTTTATGGCACCACGTCAATCATTTTCTTTTGTTCTCGTCATGACTCATCGTCACCTGCACAACTATGACTCATCTTTTTAATTTAATTCGCGATTATAGTGACGTATTAGATTTACAGTTACGCGGTGTTTATAAAGCTGGTGAGGGTTGCGCCTCGTTCTCATTTGTGTTCAGTTCAGTGTTCAACGTGATATTGTGTCAGTGTACTAGTTCAAAGTTACAAGTAAGTTCAATCGCCTCTGTTTTTTTTGATATAATTGTAATTAAATTGTTGCAATTGTTTTCTAATTGGTAATTAAATTGTTGCAATTGTCTTCTAATTTTACATTTCGTTACAGATTATGTTTTCGTACAGCAAACCTTATTCTCGTCCATCAACAAACCCCAGAGATCCTGGTACTGCTGAAAAGTTGTCGACGACACTCAATTACTACAAGCCTATTGCATCATCGCCAGAATTCTGCTACACAGAGGATGATCACCGAGCATTCGGCAGGGAAGTTATGAAGGAATACAACATCTCATCTTACAATAATCCAGTGCCCAGACACGAAGATTTCTGTTTATCAACACAAGACCGTAAGCGCATACATAACAAGTTTATGGATAAAGAACGACAGCAATTACTCAGTGAGTCGACATTTAATCTAAATAATAGTGGATCCAAAATCCTGAAAGTGGGTCTAGACGTATTTGAAGATTGCCCCTGTGTCAAGATACAAGGCAAGGATCGGAGCATATATTTTTCAAAGAGTGCCTTCGAGAGTTTTTTAAGCGAATTAGAAGACATCGTCGGAGCAGTAAAGCGCGAGGAAGAAGATGAAACTTTCGATCTAGAAGATTTTCATGTACGGTGCTGCAGAAAATATAAAGCTTCGCGTATCATTTCGAAGAAAGAAATCCACTGTGAACTGTACTTGGGACTCGTCACCCTGGAAAAAGTGATCGCTATGGCAGACTACTTACGTCAGAAGCTTAATTATTTGGGTAATTATTTGGAAGGTAATGATTGTCCTTTCAAAAACTTTGTAGAAAAAGTTGTGGACATTCTGGATAGACGTCAGCAAAAAGATGTGAGTTATAACGATTTGCTAACAAATTTAACTACTGAACCTTTAGTTATACATGAGTTAGTCCATAAGTATCCGTATTTTGTGATTGATAAGATAGAGGATTATATGCAAACTTTTGATGATAGGTTCTTGTACAAATAAATGTAAATAAATATAAATGTAAGTTCTACATTCTTTTAATCAGTTTGGTGTTATACTTCGAGACATTACAATGGAAAATAAATTTCTTCATCCATTTTCCGCTCTTGTAAGTGGCCCAAGCGGGTCGGGAAAGAGTTATTTTATTGTAAACTTTCTAAAAAATATAACAAACATCTGCTCTGTACTGTTTGAAAAAATAGTTTGGCATTACGGGGAATGGCAGTCATTGTACGAAGATCTAAAAGGTGTTGAATTCCATCAAGGCTTACCCGATATGTCCAGTTTCGATGGCTTAAAACCTGTACTGATAATTATTGATGATTTAATGCGTGAATCAAATGGAGCTATTGTTGACATTTTTTACAAAAGGATGTCATCATCGTAACCTCAGTGTTTTCTTTCTAACCCAAAACATATTTCATCAAGGAAAAGGACAGAGAGATATATCTTTAAATGCACACTACATTATTTTATTCAAAAATCCCCGAGATCGGGCACAAATAAAGCATTTAACGCGGCAAATTTGCCCTGAAAACTCCAAATTTTTAGAAGAAGCGTATAATGATGCAACGTCTAAACCCCACGGATATCTGTTATTCGATTTAAAACAAAGTACACCGGATGTTTTCCGCTATAGAACATCGATATTTGAAGAAGATGGCGCTTGTGTGGTATATATACCAAAAAAGGGTATTAAAGGTTTGAATCTTGAGCAATTGGTACATTCATAATGGTTTCAAAGTTGACGAAACATTCCGAGTTGCTTCGTGCTCTCTCAAAATTGGGACCAAAGGAGCGGTTAGCGTTGATAAAATGTTTGGACGACAATCAAATTGAATGCATATGTGAGTGTATTTACAACACTTTAAAAGGACAAGTCGATTTGACCGCTGATCAGAAGCGAAGTCTCGCTCGTCATAAAACCATCTTACGGCGTATGGTAACGCCCCGTGAAAAGATAAAAAAGAAGAAACAGATACTAATTCAAAACGGAGGTGCATTCTTGCCATTTGTGCTAGGGCCGTTACTTGGCGGCTTACTCGGAAGTCTTTTTCAATAATCATGGAACACGCAAAGAAAATGTTACTCGTACCGCAGGAATTTATGCAGCGAATTAAAGCAAATGAAACTAGGAAAGACGATGTTTTATCGCAAATTGATGACGAAATGTCACAAGTATTAAATTCTAAGTTGTCTTCATATGAAAAGTGGCAACAGTATTCTCAAGTTTTACAGAAATATTTACATTTTTCGGAACAAATGCGAAAACCTGTAAGCATAGCAATTGAATCGAAGCCTACAGGAATATCAGAAGATGAAATAATAGCCTCAATTCCACAAACTTTTAAGAAAAAAGCCGAAAGTTTTCTACGAATACTCAACGCTTCGGGTGATATTTTATGGGACAATAGAGGAATTGTCACAATAAAAGGCGAAGTAATCCCGTCATCGAATATTATCGACTTAATACACGACACAATAAGACCGCGTCAATCAACAAATCCAGAAGGTGGCCGACAGTTTGCAGAATTCGTCAAAGAAATTAATGTTCCTCAAGAATTTATTGGCAAAAAACAAAGTGTTGTAAAAACCGAAGACATTATTTCGAAACGACCAAAAATTACCGTGAATCCCGATCAAGACGTTGCTGCGAAACGGACGAGAAGTGCACTTAAGCAACCGGATACGAGGAAGCGTTCCAAAAGTTCTGGTGGGCTACAGCGAGGTGGATGGAACACCGAAAACCCAAAAATTTCTAAACGATTGCATATTCCCGGATGGAAAACCTTTAAACTTTAAGTAGATGGAAAGCATATATTATGATCCTTCACATCCTGCCGGATTCGGTGGAGTTTCCTCCTTGTCTTCAGCGTTAAAAAATAGATATTCAACTGAGGATGTAAAAGCATGGTTACAAAAACAAGAAGCATATACTGTGCACAAGCCCGTTAAAAGAAAATTTCAACGCAACAAATACATAGTTAACAACATGTTTGAATTATGGCAAGCCGATCTTTGTGATATGAGAAGCCTAGCGAAAAACAACAGAGGCTATAATTACATATTAACGGTCATTGACGTATTCAGTAAGAAAGCATGGGCAAGACCTCTCAAGCAAAAAACCGCAAATTCTATAATTGAGGCGTTTTCGTCCATTTTTGAAGAATGTGACAATACACCTGAAAATATACAAACTGATAAAGGAAAAGAGTTTGTGGCAGCAAGCGTACAACAATTTTTAAAAAAATACAATATAAATTATTATGTAACCCATAATCCCGACGTAAAAGCTTGCATAATCGAACGGCTGAATCGCACATTAAAGACGAAAATGCACCGCTACTTTACATATAAGAACACATTCAAATACGTGGACGTTCTACAAGATTTGGTGTCTGCATATAACAAATCCTATCATTCTTCGATCAAGATGGCGCCTGATGATGTGAACGAAGAAAACATTTTGAAAGTTTGGCAGAACCTCTACGCGAAGGGTTTTGGTAAAGAAACTCGACCTATATATAAAGTGGGACAACACGTGAGAATCACCAGAACCAAATATCATTTTGAAAAGGGATATGAGAGTAACTTTAGTCAAGAGGTGTTTAAAATTATTAAAGTTATAAAGAGACGTCCGCCTGTGTACAGAATAGTGGATTTAAGCGGTGAAGATATAGAAGGGACTTTTTATGAGGAAGAACTGCAGGCTGTTACGATAGACGAAGATACAGTATTTAAAATTGACGAGATTTTGGAAGAAAAAGGAAGAGGAAAAAACAAAAAATATTTAGTGAAGTGGCGAGGTTATAGTGACAAATTCAATTCTTGGATTTCTGCGGCAGAACTCAAAAACATATAAAAATGGAAGAAGAATTCTACATTACGCTGTTAAGCAATAGTTCGCTCGATTATTTTCCCAACAATACAACTTCACACTTTGTTACACAGTTGCCAAAGCGTATAAGATTAAGTGGTAATTGGTCCGTCGGGATAGCCGAAATACAATATCCTTGTGCGTTTGCGTCAATGAAACTGACAATTTAATTTACTACAGAGATGCGCCAATAACAGATTTTCCGTTAAATAAAGTTTTAGAAAGTGCAGCGACATTTTTCCGTAATAATCTCGGAACGTCTATGTATAAAAACGGCGGTTGGTACGTGATCAAACTTGATGCTGGTAATTATGAAAACATTGAAGATATTCTTAAAGAAATAAACAATCACGAAAATTTAGGAAAGTTAATCACAATCAAATATTACAAGATCACAAAACGTGTGGCGATCGCATTTAGGACGCCTCTCTCCGTACTGGGATTTTCCCAAAGGTTAGCTTTACAGCTTGGGTATCGTCCAGAACAGAATGTAGTACGCGATTCCATACCCCCGCATCCTGCAAGTATTTGGTCAGGCGTGCCCTCACAGATGTTCATTTATTGTGATATTGTGGAGCCGCAAATCGTAGGAGATGTGTTATCACCACTAATGAGAATAGTTAACATTACCGCCGAAAATTACATTTATGGAAGTCATAAAGATGTAGTGTTTTCACCGTCACACTATATGCCAGTGATGACGAAAGAGTTTGAAAATATCGAAATACATATAAGGACGGATACAGGCGCTCCTATGCCATTCGAGTTTGGAACATTGAGTTTAAAGCTTCATTTTAAGAAATGGACTGCCCATATCAACAATACTACGTAAATCAAGCGGGCTCGGGTATCGGTACGATTTATAGAGGTTCGCCGTACCAAAGAGGTCATGGAATAGGAAGCTGGCTGGGCGGAGTGTTTCGTTCCATATTACCTTTGTTTAAATCGGGAATGCGAGCTGTGGGAAAAGAAGCTTTAAGAACTGGTGCAAATGTACTAGGTGACATAATTGAGGAGAAACCAATTAAAGCAGCGTTTCAAGAACGAGTTCAGGAAGCAGGAAGAAACCTTAAACGAAAAGCCGATGACAAAATTGATACATTAATGCACGGATCTGGTTATAAAAGACCACACATGATCGATTACGGTCAGTTCAAAATTGCTACGGAGAAGAAAACTACACGTCCGAAAAAAGCTCCTAAACGCAAAGTTGTCAAACCAACATTCAGTGACATTTTCTCAAAGAATGGCATTCCTTCACGCACAGTCATGTGAATGCATCAAATCTGAGTTGGATCTGTTTGCACTTCCTGCAACACAAACCAGTATCGAAGGTGGGGAATGGGTGTTTTACAAACCTTTATCCTCATTATCAGATGACGCACCGATTGAATTCGTAGTCCCCGGAAATGGAAATGATTACCTCGATCTAAGTCACACAATGCTCTACGTTACGGCGAAAATTGTAAAACAAGATGACACGCACTTGGGTGCTGACGATGTGGTAGCTCCTGTTAACAATTGGCTGCATACATTGTATAGTCAAGTGGAAGTATGCTTGAATCAGAAATTAGTGTCACCACCAAGCAATACTTATGCGTATCGTGCATACATTGAAACTCTGTTAAATTATGGCTCTGAAGCTAAAACAACTCATCTGGGGTGTTCCTTATGGCACAATGATACTCCGAAGCAAATGGATACATTAACAGCTGATAACAAAGGTTTCGCTATTCGTCAAAATACCACAAAGCTCGGTAAAATGGTGGAAATGGTTGGTCATGTGCACGCTGACTTATTTAATCAAGAAAAGTTTCTCATAAATGGAGTTGAAATGAAAGTAAAATTTGTTCGAACAAGAGACACCTTTAGTTTAATGGCTGCTGCTGGTTCAACATACAGAGTGAAAATTGTGGATGCCAGTTTACTGGTTAGAAGAATGAAGATTAATCCTGTAGTTCTTCTTGCGCACACAAAAGCATTAGAAACCACTGCAGCCAAATACCCTATTACTAGATCGGATGTGAAGGTGCTAACGATTCCCGCAGGTGTGCAACGCAAATCGTTGGATAATGTCTTCCTTGGACAACTACCAAAACGCTGCATAATTGGTTTTGTGTCGAAT